TTTGTGTAATGTAAAAAGGTCTGGGTAAAAAATGGTTAATGAGAAGATTCTCCCAGGCGGGCTTCAAGGCTAGAGCTAAGGCTATTGCTTCAAGGCTATGTTGTAGCTGCTATTGCTAGTGCTAGGCTGTGGCTGCTTTCACTTTGCTGCAATAAATCTTACAACTGTTGTAACTGTTTTTTCTTTGTAACTACACTTGAAGTCTTATCCAATAAACTTTTCAAAGAATCTAAACTGTATCAGAGTCTTGCTCACGGGAAGAGGGACCCCAATAAATGACTTGACATTTCTCTTGCTATTTTAAAGATTCCCTTCCTGTCTTTGTGTGTGATTGTGTATTTGCTTTTGCTTTTTCTTTTTTGGGCAGGATGCCTCAAAGAGGATCCTTTACGATGGAATCTGTTGGGGTCACTTAGGCTTTCTATACTGCATGTCCGTAATAATTCCCAAATTTTAGAAATTTTTTCTAATTATTTCACTGAGAGGGAGTTATGTGCCTTTTTTCTCTATTTTCCTTTTGGAACACCGATATTTTAAAGACATTCTATTCTTTAAAAAATTTTTTTTAAAAATTCTGAATGGGTTATTTCAAAAGACCTGGATCCAAATTCAGAAATCATTTCTTCTACCATCTCAATCCTGTTGTGAGGATTTCAACCATATTTAAGTGTTATATATTGAGTTCTGTAACCATAAGACTTTTTTATTTGAAAGATAGAGAAAGGATCAGAAATACACAGAGATCTCCTGTCTATTGGTTTACTCCCCCAAATGCAAGAACCCACCCATGTAAAAGAGCGAGACTATATCCCCTACTTCTGGCTTCTGCTTGGCCCAGCTCTGACACTGGCAGGCATTTCTTTCTTTCAAAAAAGGTAGGTACACTTTCCTTCATTTATCCCCATGTGCACTACTACCTCCCCACTTCCTAACACACACACACACACATACACACACACACACACACACACACGCACACACTGCCTTCCACGTCGGCACATCTCAGTTGTCCTTCTATCATCTCAGGAGTACAGGCCAACTGTACATGACGGGAATTGTAATCACAAGCTTCTCTTGCCCTTTTCACATTCTGTCCTTTTGATAAGATCACATTGGCAATTATAGACATAAAACACATATTCCTATTCTTTTCAGCTTCTAATTACAAAAGCTGGCTATTCATCTTGTAGCTACAATGGATCCAAGAGAAGAAATTTTAACAAAACACTGAGTTCTTCCAGATTTCATATGAAAGATCTCCTTGAAACTTTATAGCAAAGAAAAATGCCCCCATCAATGTTATCAGGATGATTATCAGAACAGATCCTGCAGACCACAATGAAGTTTTTTGTTTGTTTGTTTTTGTTTTTTTTTTTTTTGAAAGGCAAGTTTATACAGATGAGAGACAGAGAGTAGGTCTTCCACCCACCGGTTCACTCCCCAGGTGACTGCAATGATCAGAGCTGAGCTGATTCGAAGCCAGGAAACTTTCCTGGGTCTCCCATGTGGGTGCAGGGTTCCAAGAGCTTGAGCCATCCTCTGCCACTTTCCCAGGAACCTTTCCTTGCTACTTTTCCAGCAGGGAGCTGGATGGGAAATGGAGCACCAGGATGCACATCAGTGCCCATATGGGATGCCAGCGCTACAGGGTGAAGGAATAGCCTGTTGAGCCACAGTGCTGGCCCATGGAGACCTGAATAATAGTCAGTTAGGCTCATAATCTTAACTTTCCCCAGCTTCCTCTTCTCTGCAAATCCTCACTAGTTTGCAATATCGAAGGACAGATGTATTTGGAACTTGCCCTGCATGGCCACTCTAACGCGCTCTTTGCATTAACTATGTTTCTGTAGTGACTCTCTGGCATCATCCCACCAGAGCCTAACTTTGTTCTGGTAACAGGTTAAGTTAGAAAGTTCCATCTGGACCACGTGGTTCTATTTGCTGTGCACCATACTAAGTTGAAGAAAAACTAAATCAATTAGATTGGATTTCCTGTTATCGCTGAAACTGAGCCTCCAAACAGTGCCTTGAATGAATTAGGCCCCATCTCCTAGCTTCACCCTTCTCCCCCCTCAGTTTAACTCACTGAATTGAGGAAGGGTATAGAGTCAGCCCTAAAGGTCATAATATCTTGACAGCCTGTGTTGTCCCAAGGGGTTTTAATTTAGGGGATTTCCAGGTCTGGGCAGGGAAATTCCAGGGTCAGGACAGAAAGTACTGAAGCATACTTGGCTATAAAAAAAAAAAAAAAAATCCCTGAGGAGAACAGCAATGCTGGTCAACCAGGAACTTAGGCACGAGCTAAACGTGTAACTGGACCAAATAACCACTGGGACTCCAGCCAGCCCTTTATCACCTGGCCAGAGGTCAACATGCTCTTGTCTCATGTGTTGTGCTGCTTACTGCTGACTCCTTCCTCCTTGCAGCCTCTTTGAAAACCCAAAAACACCCTTATTCAGAGGGACAGGAGTTTTGGAGACTTCTTATCTACAGGTAAATTAAACTTTATCTTCCCATTTGTCTTCAAACTTTGTTATTTTAATTTGGCACCAGGGATAGGGACCAAGCTTTAGATCGCATTACCAGAGAAAGCATCCTCATTGAAATATTTCTGTAATGCATTCTAGCTCTTCTTAACAATTTCACATTACAGTTCTCAAATAAAATGAGAAAAATATTTTTTTTTATTGAAGGAAATGAAACAAGAGTAAAGCTAGAACCCCAGAATCAAACAGAACAGACCAATGGGAGTTTGTCACAGTCCTACAAAATAATCTTTCCACAAATATACATGATATAACCTATAAATCAAATGTGCATGAAATAAAATTTGAATTTGCTTGACAGTGAAATAGCTGTCTTTCTTTTAAGAATTGTTTATTTGAAAGGTAGATAGACAGGGAAATGAAGATAGATAGAAACAGGGTGGCGAGGGGCGAGGAGAAGGAGAGTTTCCATCTGCTGGCTTATTTACTTTCATCTGCTCTGAGAGTAGAGCTGCTGAGGGAACCCCAGAAACATTGCTGTGACAACAACATGAGACTCCCACCGTGAGAATCACAAGCAATGTCCAGGCCAGCCTGTGATAGCCACAGAGATTAACATGCAGCCTCAGAAAGCAGCCGCAGCCAAAGTCCATCAGAGCCTGTATGGAATAGGCAGGCAGTCAAATAGAGAACAAAAGACCTGGGAGATTTCTGACAGTTTCGACCTCTAGACTGCACCCCTAAATACAGCTCCTTCAGTGAAAACTCAGCACACCCACTTTCCAATGCTGCACCTAGGTTTCTTCTAGCATGACAAAGATGCCATGGACAGCATATGTATACTGAGCTCCACATGCAGACGTCATGAAAAGTTTCGCAGAGGACAGCCTCACACACAGGGAACCCCACACAAACTCCAACTCATTTGTATAGTCCATTCAGGTGCCACCTCCACCTAGCAAAGGGAGTCACCAAAAGTGGGGCATTCCTCCCCTTGTGGATGTGGTGCTTCCTCTCCTCCTCTTCCTCCTCCTCCTCCTCCCCCTCCCTGTCACACAAATATATTTTCCTCAGGATGTGGAGCTCTTTCCATGGAGCTGCCTCCACCAGCGTCCAAGGGCATACAGTGTATATAAAATTTCTTTCTTTCTCTCCATAAGTCTTGTTCCCATTTCTGTACTTTAAGCCTCTGTTTTGATGTCTCCTCTCACCTAGGGGCAAGAACCTGCAATGCAAAAAAACCATCTTCCCACAACAGAGCTAGGGAGACGTGGAAGCTCCAACCTGGATTTCAAAGGACTGGGGATGTCTCTGGATGGAGTCACTACAATGAGCCTCCACCAGGGCAATACCATGTCAAAATCTGGGGGGGACACTGCTGCAGCATTCCCATGAGCAACAACCAACAGAGTTGTAGACATCAGAGTCAGTTCCAAGAGAGAACAGAAGTGTGGGAGCAGCCAACAGGCTGCAGGGCAGAAGCTGCCCACACCACCAGGTACTCAGCCCCCAACAGTGTGTGGAGAACTCTGAATGTGGATCCTCAGGAGGCAATGTCTTCCTGCTGGTATTCAGTCTCACTTTCTTCCTGTTAATCCTTTCTACTTGCTAGCCTGCTTGAAAGCAAAATGCTTGACCTCTGCCCACCTCATCACTGAATCTTGAAAGTAAGTACCTTGTTTTCCATCACATGGGCTCACAGCCTAGGGAGTTTATCTTGAGTCTCCAATGACTTTGAAATGAATATTGCACTGAGTTAAGACTTTGGGACTTCTGTTGCTGAGGTGATTTTTATGTTGCATGTAAGAACAGAAATTTTGGACTGTGAGGGGTATGACATTATGGATTGAATAGAATGTGACTACACAAAACTCAGGCACGTACTTAAACCCTGCTATCTTAATACTAAAGGTTGATAAATTAAAGGTGGAAATTTTCTCTAATTGTGACAACTGAGAGGGAAATATCGTGGGAGGTCTTTAGATACCTGGGGTTGTACCCTTAAAGGGTTGTTCTCAATGGTGGGTTGGTTATTGGAGCCGAGTTCATCTAACTTTTCTCTCTGCTCTCTGACTCACCAAATGATTATCCCTCCTAACCCACCAAGGTCAGTCTCCACCAAATGCCAGCCATGGGGCACTGGATCCTGAACTGGAGTCTTCAAACTGTAAGAAAAAAAAAAAAAACATTTCTTTTCCAAGAGGCTACTCTTTGGAACTTAACAAAAAGCTAATTAATATTCCTCTCCACACCTGTATTATAATAGCATATTAATGAAGGCCATTGTCTTCTATATCTATATAGTGGCTTACAATTATAGTTACTGGATGATCTAGAAGAGAGCCAAGAAACAATTTTGATTTACTTTTCTGTCTTATTTCCCAAGCTTTTGTCATTTGTTTAAACTGCTACAGCATATAGTCAGCTGACCTTCTTAAAGTTCTGAATTTATCTTCTTTTATTTTTACTTGACAAGCAAAAAATTGTGTATATTTCTAGTGTGCAACATGGTAGTTTGATTTATGTATATATAGAATGACAAATCAAGGCATTAAACATCTGTATGACTTTCTCATTTATTCTATGGGAAAGAAAACTATTGTTGTACGGTGATGCAGCCTGCCCTCTTTTTTCTAGTTCTCCTCCTTGAAATTATGTGACACAGATGATATTTTGCATTATTTGTGAAAAATGCATTAAAGTAATGTAACACCAGGTAAGACCCATGCAGGGGAGGTAGTAAGGGCGTCCTATAAATGAGAGCTGCAAACAACGCAGGGAGGGCACTGCTGTGGGTACCAGGATTCCAACACAAAGCAGAGGCTGAGGAAGCCATCAAGGAGGCCGTCTTCTGTAGGTCACTGAACCACGAGGCAGCCGGGTACTAAGGAGCCACCCTCTGTGGGAAGGAAGAAGAGTCACCAAGAAAAATTTTTTTTCATTGTGAGGAGTCAGAGTGTCTTCCTGGAGAGCTGCCAACATCACCTCAGCTCAGGGTCCTGCAAGGACAGAGAAGCTTGCTTCAGACCTAGCTGGCATCACGGTTTCTCATGAAGTCTCCTGAAGTCTCCCTGAGTCAAAGCTAATTCAGAGCACACAACATGTTTAAGTAAGCAACAGAAGTTTCACTGCAAACTGCAAGGCCAGATGAATGGCCCCAAACTCTTCCCAGCACCTCTCATCTACTTAAGGTAAACAACTGTGTCAATGAGGAAACAAAGGAGCATTACCTCTTAGCTGAAGTCCAGAGTGGCCTGGGAAAGACAGGAAAGAATTATGCTTTTAAGTCATGAAGGCAAATATTTCTGTAAATATAATATCCCTTACCAAAGATTTGTCATGTTATATTTCTCTATAACTACATCCCACACACAACAAATCAAAGTCAGGAGCAGAAACTGAACACCTGTGACCAATGAAGCTGCTGTTACACACACTTTAGTTAGCCCTAGTGGTGCTTCCATTATTGCCCCCAGGATGTTGACCCAAAATATCTCTATGCTTATTAAGCTTTCCATACTCTATGAAACATAATTTGTTAGGTTTTGACACAGTAATCATGGTGATTGCATTCCAAATTTCCAAGAAATTGCAAAAACAAAGACTTTATGCAGGAGGAATGATTTACAAATAAGCAGACTTAGCAAAAGCCATATTAACTCCCCATGTAGGTCTAGGAGAGTCCTCACCGTGATCAAGTCCTCACGTTTCTGACTCCTGAAGTAGATGAGCAGCCCCAGCCCCTGGAAGAGCAGCCCCAGCACCAAGCCCCCTACTCCACTCAGCATCTTGGTCTGTGCAGATCCAGACTGTGGCTCTGAGGGAAAAAGCCAGGGTCAGACATTTTAAACACAAAACCAACCTCTCTGATCATAACCATGAGATTTAGAACTTTTAGGTTTAGTGACTTTGGTCTAAGATCAAACATTCTCAGACCTGGATACACAGAGCTTTGAGAATGACACAAGTTACCCAACCAGAAAAGAAATAGTAACTAAGCATCTTTAGGGGAAAAAAATCAAAATCATACTATTTTACAAGACTCAGGCATTTAACACCCTGAAATACAACAGCCCCAAGAAGACGCCTGCTGGTGCAGCAGACTCTGGGACCCTGGGAAGGTCACGGGTCTTGTCCAGGTGGCAAAGCTGATGAAAGGCAGGGGTGATACCTGACTCCCTGTGGGTCAGGAAGGGCCTGTCCTGTCCCTCTTCTCAGATCTGAGTGAGCATCAAAGCAGTAGAATCAGACAGGAATCCAGCCCTGGAGATACAGTCTGGATCTGGGCCAAGGACCTGGTTCAAGGCCAAAGGGTGACAAAGATGTATGATATCACAGGAAATCTCAAAAAATTTCCACCAGCCATGCATTATTGTCTTCTCAGAGAGTGGGTGCTGAAATGCCACGGTGCTCGCCCAATGATCTATTTAGAAGCAAAGAAGAGCAAGGAGCCCATGGAAATGTTTGCTGGAAGAGGAGAAGCCTGACACTCAGGGACAAGCAGAGTCCCCTTCCTGGTGGGGAGGTTCATGGGTCAGGAAGCTGCTCACTCCATTTCACAATGACAGGGCTGCTCACGCTCGGGTGCTCCACATGACAGCTATAAACCTCTCCACTCTCAGGAACCGTCTCCAGCATCACCAGGGTCTGGAACGTCCAGTCTCCATTCCGAATCAGTCCTGTGGACACCACACCAGCCTCCTCTTCCTCCCCACTGCGGAACCATCGCACCTGGATGCTGCCTGGGTAGAAGCCACTCACTGCGCACACCAGGAGGTTGTGGTGCTGCAGGGGCTGGGTCTTGGCAGGGTACACGGTGACCTGTGGCACAGCTGGGAGACACAGGGAGAATGGATCAGGGAGGGAGAAGGGATCAGGGAGGCAGGCCCAGGAGTCCTCCCTGGGTGCTCCTTCTGCCTCTGTCCACACCCAGGCTCAGTTTCAGGCAGGAGTCCAGAAAAGAGGAGAAAGGGCAAGGAGGTTTTCATTAAACTTCTCATTTCACAGCCATCTGTTTAACCCCTTTCCTTTGAACATCAAGCACAACTATTCTTAGAACTTAGGCTTTTACAGCTGTCTCTTCTAAACTGTCAGTTGATGGTCGGTCTGACCCTCAGTAATAATGTGTTTTTATTGCATGGCCAATCCCAGACACAGCCAATCTCAGTAAAGGCATTTTTGTAAAGGGACAAAATATTTTCACAGCAACATAAAATGGTAGATTCAAGAGAGATGATAAATCATTATCAACAATTACGCAATAAATTTCAATAAACAGACCTTTAAATTCTTACATTTCAAATATCAGAATCAAAATATAAACTATAAGCTGTAGAGAATGTTGAATATAATGTCAACTAAGTATTCATAATGACAGAGCAGAAGAATATGTACAGAACATGTAGAAAAACCCTCCCAAACAGACCTAAGACACAATATGTAACTGGGAGCAGTTTAACAAGTGCCAATGGAAGCAGAAAAGGCTCAATAAATATAGACATCAACAGAAACTAATATAACAAAGGCCGCTGGTTGGAGGCTGCTCCATTTCCCAGCCAGCTGCTTACTAATACACTTGGGCAAGCAGCAGAAGGTGGCCTCAGTACTTAGGATCCTGCACCTACCTACTCAGGAGAACCTGAAGGAGCTCCAGACTCCTGGCTTCACCTGACCCAGTCCCAGTCATTGCAGCCATTTAAGAAGTGAACCAGCAGATGATAAACTTCCTCTCTTTCTATCTCTCCGTTACCCTCTCTGTAACTCGGATTTCATATAAATGGAACATCCTCTATTCCTATCTCTCCTGTAACTCTGTCTTTCATATAAATAAAATCTTAGAAGAGATATCGACATTGCAAATGCATGTAAGTCTTTAGAGTGCAGCTGGCTGCAGTGGCATTCAACCCTCTAGGGATGCATGATACTTGGAGACAGATCATTGGGATTGAATGATTACAGAATTCCCTGAGCAATGATGTGCAACTTCTGCTCATACCACACTCATGCTGTGCTGTGTCCAAAATTATCTAAAGGTGATTTAAAGTCTGAGGATGAGGCGAGGCGCTATGCAAAAGCTGCCTACAAAGGACTTCAGCTGTCTCCACTTCTGTTGTGTTGGGGCTCCTGAAAGTGCTCTTCCCCTGCCTTTAATACATGAACCAACACATTTGGAAGTATTTTGTATGTATCACATGGGAAAGCGAGATAAATTGTATTATGAATGTACAAACCAAACCATGTAGCTGCTTACATTCTGTTAAAATTATTCACATCATAACATTAACTATGTTAAATTATAATGCCAAACCGGATTCAGGCATTTCAACTATGAAATATTTTACACTAAGGAAGCAAAGCAAAGATGACAGTATAATTAGACCTAAAATAAGCACCCCAAGGTTCACCCCCATCCTCTCCCTGCAGACAGGGACACTGGCAAGGTTGCAAACCCACAGCCAGCCCGCGCTCACTTCGCCACTGCAGCACGAAGCTCTCTAAGGCTAGGTAGTTGTATCTGCAGAATGTGTCCACCGCGGCCCGGCGGTCCTCCAGTTTGTCCTTCTGCTTGTTCCAGGCTTCAGCTTCCAGCCGCCCCAGCTCGGTCAGTGCCTGGAACTCGCCCACGTCGCTGTGGAAGCGCAGAAACTCCCTCCGGTTGTAGAAATGCCGCTCCACATACCGCACCTGCTGCGCGCCATGCGAGAAGCCACACTCGTATTTCATCTGCAGCATGAAACAAGCTACGGGGATACAGGTAAACAGTAGATAGGGTCACACTGGCTTCTTGCGGGGAAAGACTGATGGGGATGAGAATGGCAACAGACGCTTATGAGGCACCTTGAGAGGGGACAAGTGTCCAGGACAGCCCCATGGACCCTGGCTTCCCCAGCTCTGTGCCCTGTGTCACTCCTCAGCTGGTGATACAAACAGCAGTCAGCAGCCAGCAATGCACCTCTGCCTCCTCGCTGCCTTGCAGACCCCCAAGCAGGGCTGCACCAGGCCCACACCATCTGCTCCTGCTGCCTCACCAGGTCCCCTGCCACCTCTCAGTGCAAAGCTATAGGTCTTTCCTCCTAGGGACATCTTTAGAGCCCACCTCATGCTCAGTCTGACCTGTATCACCCCTAGGAATCTGAAGAAAAACAGAATAAACCTCTCTTTGAAGCTTGAAGCCCAACAAAAGTGATGAACAAAGAACAAACACAGAGTGTGCACGAGGACACATGCTTCTGTCATCTCCATTTATACAGACATACATACTTGTATAACACATACATGTGTATCTATGAAGAAATTCATCCTATGACTGTGCACCTTAAATTTTATTTTTCAAGTAATGAAACTGATGCAGTCATTTAAAAATTAAAAGTGGGGGCTGGCACATTAGCCCAACTGACTAATCCTCAGTTTCCAAGAGCTAGCATCCCATATGGTCACCAACTCCTGTCCCAGCTGCTCCACTTCCCACCCAGCTCTCTGCTAATAACCTAGAAAAGCAGTCGAGGCTGAGACAAAGCCTTGGACCCCTGCACCTGCATGGTAAACCAGAAAGAAGCTCCTGGCTCCTAGCTTTGGCCTGGCTTAGCTCTGGCCATTGCAGCCATTTTTGGGGGATGAACCAGCTGATATATTCTTTCTCGCTGTGTCTCCTTTTCTCTGTAAAACTGCCTTTCCAATAAAAGTAAATAAATTTTAAAAACAAAAAAGTAAAAAAGTTGATCCTGTGGTGAAACAAGTAAATGTGAGATCTGACGCTGTCAGTAGTACAGCATGTGGAATTTCTGCAGAAGTTTGAAGCAATTTGAAGAAGTTTGAAGACTGAAACAATTTTTATAGTAGTCATCACCATTTAGGCCCTATAAAAGCAAATTGTTGAAATGTAATAGAGAAGGTAATAACTCAGAACATACAAAATTCCAAATTCTAAGAATTATTGTTTCTGTTCCAGAGTACTTTGTATAGGACAAAGAACACCAATCACTTCCAGAAGAGCATCTCAAGTTCAGGAGTCTAAGCTTCATAAACATCAAAATTCAGAGAGGAAGGGGAGATGATAGAGGACAACTCACACTGACATCATCACACCTAAGGAGAAACAGCAACATAACAGATCCTGGTGAGCTCACAAGGTTTATTCTGCAGGGTCAGCATAGTGGCTAATCCTCCACCCTGCAGAGACAGCATCCCAGATGGGTGCTGGTAATACCAGCTGCTCCAGTTCCCATCCAGCTCCCTGCTTGTATCCCTAGAAATCAGTGGAGGATGGCCCAAAACTTTGGGACCCTGCACACATGTGAGAGACCCAGAAGAAGCTCCTGTCTTCTAGCTTCAGATCAGCTCAACTCCGGACATTGTGGCCATTTAGGGAGTAAACCAGCAGGTGGAAGACTTCTCTCTCAATCCCTCATTCTATCTGTCAATATGCCTTTCCAATAAAAATACATAAATTATTGAAAAAATCTTTTTCTTTAAGGATTCCTTTGTAGTTCTTTTGGTTCCCTGCAAAGCACTCAAGGAAACCCTCTTCTTCATGTCATAACCCAACAGAAGGACTGTGTGAGTTGCTATTTTAAGATGAATATTTCTGAGTGCCTTCAGGACTAAGAAAACATAGTGTACAGCTAGATGAAGTTACTGGAGGAGGCCTGGAAACGAATGACCTGAGCAAGGACACCCTGGTACAGATCTCACAGAGAGGGCAAATACGTTTGCCTTTGGGGAAAAATAATTAAGGTTGCATATAGTAAGCACAGGTGTCATTGAAGAAAATGTCATGTTTTTAAAAGGATCGTGGTGATGTCACTCCCTCCCATCCCCACCCCGTGATAGCCCAGCATCCGAAGCCTGCACTTACGTTGGCTGTCCCCGACCAAAGCCAGGGCAGAGCTCAGCACCACCAGTGTCACTGTCACAGCTGATACACAGGAACCTCTGAAGAGCCACAGACACAGCATTGCAGAGCAGGAGGGTCCTGGGCACCTAGGAGCAGGCAAGTCTCACTAAGTGACAACTCAGACCCAGACACAGCTCAAATCATAGAAACCAAGATGCTCACTGATTCACAGCAGTGTGGAGCAACGATACTTTGGAGAACCAATCAGCATCAGAGATGAAAAGCATCATTGGTTGCTGGTCAGAAATTGAGTGTGAAAGTCTTCTGAAATTCAAAGGATTGTTTCGACTTAGTGTTGTTGAGCTTGAAACTTGCAGCTGTGACACTGTCTTTTGGCCCAGCTGTGAGCCAGCTCTGAGCCTGTAATATGGGCATCTGTAATATGGGCATAAACTGAGCCCTGTTGGAGCCTTCGCCTCTTGCTTGGTGATGTTTACTAACATAGAGGCGCAGGGAAGATGACCTTCGGTCTGGTCTGTAGTGTGTAAAACTTTAGGCTGTATTCGTGAGAAGGCTACTTAGATTCTCACAGTTCAAACGTAGTCCCTTTGATCTTCTGTATTTCGATATTATTACAAATTAAGAATAATGCAAAGCTGAACTTCACTGACTGCAAGGGGTCAAGCCATGCTACTCTGCTTCTGCAGTGTGTGGCAGGTGACAAGTGGGGGCTCATTTCCCGAGGAAAATGCAACTTAATTTTTTGGGGAAGGAAGTAGGTATCAGTATACCCCCTGACCTTTATTTGTCAGCTAATTCTACATTTTTATTTTTGTGTACATTGTTTTCATATATGTATACGATTAGGAGAGATTAAATCAAGTTCATTAACACATCCATCACCTCATGAGCTTAACTTCTTTGTGCTGAGAACATCTGAAATTTACCATCTTAGCAATTTTGAAATATATATTAACTATCAAAAACTTATTCTACCTGTCCCTTGAAACTCTGTACCATTTGATCAATACCCCCTCAATTAGCAATGCATGTAATCATATTCATATTTTTACAGAAAATGAATTTATTCTTGAAAAAAATGAGTGATCTCAGAAGCAGACTGTTTTATAACTATAGGAAGAATTTGTAATATCCATGAATGCCTTGAATTGCATCCCTTTTCATAATGGGACTCTGGGAGAAATGGATACTGGTGACCATCAGCAGGCCCCAACAAAGATTTCTGTCCCTTATCCAAGCACTCTCAGGATGCTCACTTAAGCTTTCAGAGCATACCAGGAGCTGAAGATACTTGGCAGCAGATATCTCTACTCCAAAATAAAGGGAAGAGTACCTGGGAAACGCCTAAGTGCCTACAGTGCCATGATACACTTAAATCGCAGAATGTTAACCTTGTAAATATTACTAAAGGACTATACTAATGTGACAATATGGGGGGAAATGGTGGGAGGGAGGAACCACATATTTATTCATTATAACAATTGGCAAATAATTTTTTAAAAAATCCTACCTTCATGTTCCACTAGCCATGGCACAATGATTCCAGGTGTTGTGGCAGTGAAGAAATGGATGCACAATGGGAGTCTGACACAGCGGTGAGATGCCATTTGGAAAAACCACGTTCCATATCACAGCACCTTGATCTGACTGAGTTCTGGCTCTGGTCTTTTAGTATGTACCTGAGAGGCAGCAGGGGATGTCTCAAATAACTGGGTCTTTGCTAAAGCATAGGAGACTCACACTGCATTCTAGACCTCTGCTTTTAGCCTGGCCCAATCCCCCAGTCTCAGGGCATTTGTGGAGTAAAGTAGCAAATACAAGACTCTCTTTTTCCCTTTCTTTCTCTCTTTTTTTTTTTTTATCTCTCTTTTTCCCTCAGTCCCCTCTTCTGTGTATGTGTGTGTGTATCTACCTTTCAAATAAAATCAAATAGTTGGATAGGTAGATAGATAGATAGATAGATAGATAGATAGATAGATAGATAGATTTTTATCTTTGTTATTTTAAAGGATGGTGAACTGGGCCTGATGCAGTAGCCTAGTGGCTAACATTCTGACCTTGCACACATTGGGATCCCATATGGGCTCTCACTCAGGTCCTAACAGCCCCACTTTCTATCCAATCCCCTGTTTGTGGCCTGGGAAAGCAGTAAAGGATGGCCCAAAGCTTGAGACCTACACCCACGTGGGAGACTTGGAAGAAGATTCTGGCTACTGGCATCAGATTGGCTCAGCTCTGGCTGTTGCAGCTACTTGGGAAGTGAATCAGCAGATGGAAGAATATCCTCTCTGTCTCTCCTCCTCTCTGCATGAACTTTCCAATAATAAATAAATAAATATTAAAAAAAGAAAGTTGATAAATTTGTCAAACCTTATCAAACTATTGTAAATCCATCACACAAGCCCACAAAGTCATCTAAGGCTCTGTTTTCCCCCTTATCCTCTTCTCTTCTTTAGGTTCTATCTTCCACCCATGTTAAGATTCAGAAGTTTTCATATCCTTTGGGTAAACACACAATAGAATACTGCTCAGTCACAAAAAGGAATGATATCCTTTCTCAACAAAATGGATGCAACTGGAGTTGTGTTTAGTTCCTAAATCTAGTTCCCAAAAAGACAAACATCATATGTTTTCCCTGATGTGTGGTAATATACTGAGTAAAAGAGGCAATATATGTAAGTGAAGTTGACATTTTGAGATGTGCTTGTTTGTAGCACTCATCCACACCCTAGGGACCTGTGGTTTTTCTACTTACTACCTGTTGATTTTTTTAATCTAGTGGGAGGTTAAGCTTGTGATTATACGGTAAATTGAAGCTATGCCATTGTAAAAATTAAAAGAAAACTAAGAAAAATGGAAAAAGCAGTGTGAGAGTAAGAAGAGGAGGAAGGGTTAGGGAGGGAAATATTGTGTTTCTACAATGATACATATGAAATACATGGAAGTTTTTCCTTTGTATGTGAAAAGCTGCATCGAAAGATTCAGCAGATGACTCAATGCCCAAGAGCAGACATTTCATTCTGCTCAACTCAAGAAAACATGTCCAATTATAATTCGAGAATTTTAAACTTCTTAACATCTGTAATTCTTTGGAGGCTTTAAAAATAAAATTTTTCCCGGTTCATCCAACTGATTTCATTAATAACTTTTTTTTCCTCATCATTATTCCTAGTAACCTTCATACTCCTGGCAGGTGTTAAGCTTATGAGTGTTTTGTGGTTCACTCATTTTCTGCCTCATTCACTTAAAGTCCTATGTAGCATCTCATGGTAGCACATGTATATAATACTATTATTTATGTCCTTTACCAATAAATATAAAATGTATCTTTTCCTTATTTGTGTTTCTCATGTGCCGTCTTGAACACAGGTGAGACTCTATATGGGATGTGAACATCTAGGATGGAAGGAATGAGTTACTCAAACCACCCAACAGGATATCGCCATTTGTGCTCATATTGCCATGCACAACACACAATTGTCATCTTGTACTATGTTGTCACTTCAGATATTTAATACTTTTATATAGTAAGACATTTTATGATTAAGACACAATTATCATCTATTCTTCAGAGTCTGGAATGCTTTTACTTTTCTGAAAAATTAGTGCAAAGGAATGGCCTATCTATCTCTTTGTGCTCTTGAAATATTGTTTAAGATAGCTAAATAGACTTGGATTTTTGCTCTTGATAAGCCAGTAGCATTTCCATTGAAGGTTTCAATAGGTACTGCCAAGCTGCCTCCCATTCCCAATCCTAGTAATAGTGCATGAAGGAATTCATTCCCATGAAGTTAATTTTGATTTTTAAAATACAAACTACTGCATTTCTCAAAATAAACAAGTCATTGTTGCCTGAGTTTGCATTTATTTGGTTATTGGTGAGTTTAGGCTAGTATATTAATTCACAAATGGGACATTCTTTTCTGTAAATTGTGAGTCGATTTGTATCCTTGGTCTGATTTGCTGTTGGGTTAGTTATTTCATGTAATAGGAAGTTCAATGTCTGCCTTGTGTTTTTCAGATTTTTTCCTGAACTTCATGCATTTCTTACTGCTTACTTCTTCAATGAAATATACATACATACTATCCTCTCCAATACTTTCCTCAGCTATGTCCTCTAGATTTTCCGTCTTGCTTAGAAAGAACTTATCTTAAATTATTTTAAGAAATTTCTTAAGGCAAAGATATATGCCACAAATTCATTTATGCATATAATTGATGATTTGAACAAACTAACACATTTGTGCAACTGCCACAGAAATCTAGTTTTAGAATGTTTCTATCACTGCAGAAAGCACCCGTAATGAAATCCCGCAGTACACTTTAACTCTGTCTTATCATTTCACATCACAGTTCTCATACGAAATGAGCAAAAATATATTTCCTATGAGGGAAAAAAAAGCCAGATTAAGCTGTAACTGAGACCAAACAGAGCAGACCAATTGTATGTTTATCACATTCCTGTAAGGTAATCTGATTTCCACACTCATGATGTAGTTAAACATCATATATGTGAGATACTCTGCCTGAATTTGCTAGGCAGTGAGGTTGTTATCACTCGACTGGACGAACAGTGCTCTGCTGTTCACTAGTGGGATAAATTCCTGAGTTAAACACTTTTCAGATTTAGTTTGTACCTGAACTGACTCCTCAGATGGAACTTACTAGCAGGACTCTCCAACTTCTTATCAATTTACTTGCAGTTCTGGAACTTACTTTTTAATTTAATTACTTTTCTGGAATTAACTTACTTTTCTGGAACCTTTTTGTGTGGATTGAATAGATCTTAACTCCCCAAAACTCATTCAGTTGTTTAAACTCTGCTGTCTTAATGTTACAAGTTGTTAATGAAAGGCAGAAGTGATTATGGCATTTGAGGAGTAGTCTGCTGTGTTTAGGTCACTGGAGGTGTCTCCTTAGAGAGTGAATCCTGCCAGGGCATTAGTTTCTGGTACTAAATTCAGCCTGGCCTCTTTCTATCATGTGGTTCACCAAGTAACCATCCCTATATATCCATTTCAGTACTGCCAGTCTCTACCAGATGCTAGATGTAGCCACTGAATCCAAAAGTGTAGATCTTCAGACTGTAATCTTTCACAAAAGTTCTTCAAGGATATGTCAGTTACAGTAATGAAATGCTAACTAATACAT